TCCACGCAGCCGCTAGCTCGCATGGCCGAAGGCCTCAAGCTTCTTGGGTTCTTCGGGTTCCCAGGGTGCTAAATGAATCATCAATACGACGTTGATATCTAGGTTTCCAGTGCCAAGTAAGCAGATTGTTACATGTATGCTATGGTTAGGGCGAATATTTGGGGGTACAGGAGTTCTTGATCACCCTTATGAGTCTTGGGTGGCGTAGGGTTAGGGATCAGCCCCTATACCCGAAGCCCCCACCGCGAACGACCTTCTTTGGATGGAAATCCCGAACCCTGAGCTGTCCGTAACTTAAAACACGAGACCCCGTGTGTTATGACTTGTTTCATCTGTTTTGGGGGCCCAAAAGGCCTGGCCCTTATAAGGCTTCTTAACTGCTGATGCTATACCTGTTCGATCCGAGCCCGCAAATGCTCCTCCGTAACCCCCGCACTTCAAGACTCGAGTCGACGCCTCCTCCCAAAGTTGCCCAAAAACCTCGCGGATTCACGGATACCCCCCCCCTAAACCCGAAACCCGAAACCCTAAACCCTAAATCCTAAACCCTAAACCGTCTCATGCCCTCAGAGTGATTCGGAGCGCTCTTAAGTTGAGGTCATCTACGAGATGGCCAGCGGCATCGGGTTGGATGCGGAGCACCGGCAGTGCCAGAAGGCTGGGCAGATTCCTTCCTGGCTGCTGTGCGGCTTGTAGGGTTTAGGGTTTAGGGTTTAGGGTTTAGGGTTTAGGGTCATGCGGGGGTGTGCGTTTGTTGTACCAGCGAGATGCCTTCTGCGGTGTGGGGTTTCCAGGCGTTGCGGGACCTGGGATCTAGGGCTCAGAATTCCAGGTTTTCTTTGTTCAAGAAGCCAGGGCAAACCAAGCTTTTTAACTTCTCTAAAGCCCAGACTCTAACTTGACCCTCTAGACATGTATGTTTATACACATATATATATATATATCGGTATATCATATATACACACACACACACCTTTTTCAATCTCTATGATATCTCCCGTCGTGGGGTTGAAGAGGATCTCATGTAGGAAGGTCCCAAAAAAGTGTGCCAAGCGAGCCGTCTCCGACCCGAGGTCTACATCATGGACGTCCGGCTGATGCCCGAAGCTCTCTGGTCGAGCTACGCCATGGGGGAGGTCGGGTTTAGGGTTTAGGGTTTAGGGTTTAGGGTTTAGGGTTTAGGGCTTAGGGTTTAGGGTTTAGGGTTTAGGGTTTAGGGTTTAGGGGTCGGATTCAGGGGGGTTTTGTCAGGGCTTGTGGGCGAGGCGCACCTCCCAAACAGCTTAAAAAGATTGATCTCTCCTTTTATTCTTCCCTTCTTGCAGCCTTCGAAGTCCCGAAGGCCCTGAAAAATGAACGAACAAACACCCTGCAAGCAGACCTCTGCGTTCTTGAGCCCTAAACCCCACAAAAGCCTTAGAAGCCCTACGTAGACCCATCTAGCGCCGAAGCCCCGCAACCCTGGACCCTACGCCATCTGCTCGCTCGGACAGGCCAGCCCTTTAGCCTTAGAGGCTGTGGATCCGGAGAACCCACTGGCCTGCGGCCGAGAGACTTGGGCGTCGGGTGTAGGATTTTAGGGTGTGGGGCCGAGGGCCGAGGGTTGAGGGGTGTAACGGTGGTTTATGGTTTTGGGCGCCAGTCCCCGGTGTTTTTTGCATTCCTTGCAGGGGCCCGGGCATTCAAAAGAAATCCAGCAGAGTTCAGCGCAGCTCTGGCCCAATCCCTAGACCCCTAGAGCCTAGAGCCCGAACTATACGACCTATGAGCCCTAAACCCTAAACCCTAAACGAGAAACGGAAGCTTCAACCTATGCAGCCTCTGCAGCCTCGAGCCTGCTGAGATAAAGCGGACGCCATCATCCGACTCCTTCTGCTCAGCCTTGTCGGCCCCTGAATCTCTGGGTTTGGGGTTTTGGGGTTTAGGGTCTAGAGTCCCTCAACCCTAAACCCTAAACCCTAAACCCTAAACCCTAAACCCTAAACCCTAAACCCTAAACCCTAAACCCTAAACCCTAAACCCTAAACCCTAAACCCTAGACCCTACAGGCTCCTCAGCCCTCTCTGCAAAGCTCTTGGCAAACTCAAAGCCGATTACACGACCCCCCCCCCCCCCCCCCTGCCAAAAAAAAACACCCTTAGCTTCTTGAACCCCCTAAATTCCTCAAGTCCTCAGACGCCCCTGCGTTGCAGCATTCTTCTTTTTCAAGGGGCGACGCTCTGCTTCTACTTGAAATCCCACTAACTGCTGAGGTGGATTTTGAAGAACTGTTACAGTTCCGGAGCACCCAAAGCCACCCCAGCATTCAGGAAAACACGAAGGCACCCGTTGATTCCTAGGCCTGTCTAAGGCCTGGCATCCGCACTTTGGGTTTCGATTTCAGGTAGGACCTTGCGGAACTTTGCGAAACTCTGAACCCTGAACCCTGACGGAGCTCTGCGGAGGTCTGAGCTTGATGATGTGGAGGCCGGACAGAGAATTATGGGTGCTGAGTGGGATTTGGGGTATATGATGAGGGTTTCGAGCTTAGGGAGAACCTTCAACGTTGAAGCCTTAAACCCTTTACCTTGCCATGCGATCTGCATCTACTGTCAACATCAGGAACCAAGTGCAAGAGACAAGCATAATGGCCAGGCGAATGTAGACGCAACCAACACCCTCCATGCCACGCATAGCAATCCATGCCCCAGTGGGTTGAGAATCTGTTTGCATTGGGAATCTGCTTCCATGAAATCCCTCAGTTTTCAATTGGGTACCAGAAAAATCCATTTTGACCCATCGGTTGATTTTCTTCCACCCGGAGAACACTCAGCCGGATGTGCTGGCGTGGTCATGACACTTTCTAAGGTTGAGTTAACCCTAAACCCAAACCCTAAACCCTAACCCTAAACCCTAAACCGCTTAAGGCTTAGGTTGAGTTAACCCTCAACCCAAACCCTAAACCCTAACCCTAAACCCTAAACTGCTTAAGCCTTAGGTGAAGTAGTCTTCAGGGTCTTGGTCACAGAGAATCAGGACGGGCTCCTGACGCCTGGCTCGCAGCTCCCCCGCCGGCCACTCGTAAGGCCCGTCGCCGTAAGCTATGTAGGGGGTTTAGGGTTTAGGGTTTAGGGTTTACGGTTTAGGGTTTAGGGTTTAGGGTTTAGGGTTTAGGGGTTTTATGGTTCAATTCTTTGGCTTAGGGTGTAGGGGTTTCGGGGTTTAAGGGGCCAGGGGGTTAATGCTTTGGTTTAGGGCGTAGGGGTTTCGGGGTTTAAGGGGGTTAATGCTTTGGTTTTAGGGCGTAGGGGTTTAGGCGTTTAAGGGAGCTAATGCTTTGGTTTAGGGTGTAGGGGTTTAAGGGTTTAAGGGGGTTAATGCTTTGTTTGAGGGTGTAGGGTTTAGGGGTTTAAGGGGGTTAATGCTTTGGTTTAGGGTGCAGGGGTTTAGGGGTTTTAGGGTTTATAAGGCTTTTGTTTGGGTGTCGGGGTTTAGCGGAATCAGGGTTTAAGGGGGGAGGGGGGAGGTTCTATCAAGGGTGCACCAAGAGGAGGTGCCCTAAAGCATAGCCATGATTGCGAGAGGGTGACGACATTCAGCATCAAGCTCCATCCGGGCTTAAGGCACTCAAAAGGGCTCAGGGTTTAGGTCTTCAGGCTGCAAAACCCTAACCCTAAACCCTAAACCCCAAACCCCAAACCCTTTCTAAGCATCCCAAAAGTGCCAGGCAGAGCCCCACCCACGAGTCGCGATGGAGCCTCGCTGACCTGCGCGCCTGCTGCAGGCATTGGGCGATTCAGGTTTTGCTGCTTTTGGGGCACCCAAACCCCGACTCAACACTCCAGGGAAGCCCCTAAACCCTAAACCCTAAACCCGAAACCCTAAACCCGAAACCCTAAACCCTACAACCCTACAACACTACAACCCTAAACCCTACAAGCCCCATAAAAGTAGATCAACTCCACGTCCTGCAGACCTCACTCCTCCGGCCCACTCCCCAGAAACGGAAGTTTTGGAAAATCTTGGACTGCAAGCCCTGAATCTGCAGCCCCGAAGTCCCCTAACCCTACAGCAAAACGCCCAATAGTCACACTTTCTTAGTGGTTTAGGAGCCTGTTAGGAGTCAGTGATTCAGTGTTTAGAGAGTCTGCCCGGAAGCCAAAACCCTGGACCCTGGTCCCAACCATCAGTTTGGGGTGCTCCCCAACAACAGCGGGGTGTGGTGAGAGGGGGGGGGGCTTGATAATAGCGTGTTCCACGTGCTGCTCAACAGCAGCGAGGTGTGGTGGGGTGGGGGGTGGGGGGTGGGGGGGGCTTGATAATCGCGTCTTAGGAACCCTTCCTCAGGGGCTGGGTAGGTAACCTTTAACATTTTCTGGGCTTCGGAGTACCATACTTTTTTCCTCACGGAACCATAATGAAATAAAAGTCTATGCATCTTTCTCCCTGGTTACTTCAAAGCCTAGTCTTGGGGCTTGTATAATCCCTAAGGCTCCATGTACCCATATAGTAGTTTTGATCCTTAGGGCCCAAAGTACCTATGCAAGAACCCCTTTAAGGCCTAAGTACCTACTAAATGGGTACATGGAGCCTTTGGGTAATCCGACCACAACTCCAACTGCAAAGGTTAGCCCCTTTCGGGCTAGGAAGTTCAGCCCAAAACCTCAAAGCCACTAAGCCCTAAACCTTAAACCCTAAACAAGCTTCCGGGTTAGCGTTTTAGCAGAACGCCACCCTAAACCCTAAACCCCCATACTTTGGGTTTCGGGTTTAGGGTTCAGGGTTCGGGTCTCGGGGGTTTAGGGTGTAGTAGGGTGTAGGGTCTAGGGTTTCAGAAGAGGGTGTCCCAGAGGGTTCTGGGAGGACTCAGGGGTGTCATTCATGGGGTTGATAGTAAGAAATTTGGGGTTTACGGCTACATGTGGTTGCCGTTGTTTGGAGCGGCTTTTCTTCGTCCCCGGCCCAAGACATCTTGTCGACGTTAACAGCGCTACTCTTCGGCCTAGATTCCTGTTCTCGCCATGGGGCGCCCCGTGGTCCTTATGATGGCGTGGCTTCTGATCTTGGGTGCAAGTGCAGACATGAGCTTCGATGCAATCAACAGATCTTTGCTGTCATTTTCGTTGCCGTCCACTCGGCGATATTTACAGTAGTTCCACAGGTGCTAGGCTTAGGGGTGCAGGGTTTAGGGGAAGTTTCCCAACTGAGGATCTCCCAGGGCCTTGATGAGGATGCCTGTGCGACGCAGGAGTGTGCAGTGAAGTTGCTACAGCTTGGCGCCCGCAAGGAGGGCCCTGCTCTTGCGGAGGAGTCCAAAAGCCACAAAAGCCAGGGGTTTGGCCCAGGCCCGTGCAAGGCCACGGGCAATTTCATGTGGAAAATGCAGAAGTGCGCAGGCTTAGAATGGCAAGCGTGCTCCAGCCAGGGCTGTATTTGGGAGCCGTATGCTCAAGGCGGCAATCCAAGGGAGATTGGATTTGGCTCTGCCCCTTGCAGAGCCTTGTCCAACATCGATACTTACATACAGCCTTGTAGCGGCAAGGACCTGCAGGCATGCAGGGCGAGTAGCAGCTGCATTTGGAACCCATGGGCCTTCTGGCATGGCGGAGGCTCAGGAGGATGGAACGGTGGAGGAGGATGGAATGACTTGCAGTGCGAAGGCAAGCCTTTCAACCTGGTTGGGGACTTCGACGCTTGCTGAAGATGTTTAGGGGGATTCGACAGTCGTGTCTTAGGGACTGAGCCCTAAACCCTACAGCCTTTTTCGGGCTTAAGCCAAAGCCCCCGAAGATGGGAGTTTCTCTCCTTGTTCGATCGAGGGTTTAGGCTCCTTTTTGGGATTTAGGGTTTAGGGTTTGGGATTTGTTTAAGGAGACGGCGCCTCTAAGAGGCCGTGCGAGTAACCACAATTTCTGGGGCTCAGGGTGGGGGGTTGGGGGGGGGGGGTAATCACGTGACTTGGGACTTCACACCTGCAACTCCAAAGCCTGAACCCCTAATCCCCAAAGGCCTAAACCCTTGCTGTTTAATTCGGGGTTTATAAGCAAAACGCGCCCGCGCCTAGGCGAGAGCGCAATTTCAAGCAAAAAATGTGTCCGAAACTTCAAAACGACACCCCCTAGAAAAAAACACAACAAACAAACGATCCTTAAACCCAAAAGAATAGTCCAAGCAGTGCAAACCCAAATCCTGAAACCTGAGCCCTAAACTTGGAACCTTGAACCCTGAAGAAGAATCAACTTGAGGCCACTTTCAGGATCCAGTGCACAAGCCTGTTGGGTTACAACCAAAGCACAATTCCAGAAAATCATGCCTGCGCTGTGGCGAGAGCACTATTTCGAACCTGAACTGCCGGAGCCATAACGCAGAAAAAACTTCCCGAACCGAAAATCGCCATTTGAAAGTTCACCATGGGGAATGAGCAAAACGTGCCCGCGCCTAGGCGAGAGCGCAAATTCGAGCAAAAAACGCGTCCAAAACTTCAAAAAAAGGACCCCCTGGGAAAAAACAACAAAAAAAACGATCAGGCTTCGAGCGAAAATGTATTTTCCGAAAAAATGACCTAACCCTTCAGTGTTTTCGAGCCCTGCAAATGCTGCGGTGATCACGAAAATGTGTGTTTTACTTGGGTTTTCAGCCCTCGACGCGAAAAATGTAAACACAGAATGTGTTCAGTCACACGGCCTCTTACAGGCGCCGTCACCTTGTTTAAGGCTCTTTTTGGGCGGTCGTTCAGGGCTCGTGTTTTAGGGCTTCTAAACCCTGGACCAGGGCTCTTTTTACAGGCAGGGTTTAGAGTAAATTTTGCGCTCAGCCCAGGAATGCAATGGCTTGGCTCCCGCATCCTGCAATCAAAACAGCAATTGCCAACTCGTGCGACGTGGAGGAGGCAACCAATACCGATACAAGTGCCAAGGGAAGCCGATGAACTTCTTTGGCTTTGACTCTTGCTCCAGATGTTTCATTGGGTGGTGAGACCCGAAGCCCTAAAGTGTGTGATCTACCGTTGCGTTTACTCATACCCGTCGCGCAGCATTAAGTGCAGCCCAGGAATGCGACAACTTGTCGGCCAGCTCTTGCAGACAGAACAGCAACTGCGAACTCGTTCGCAACTGACCCTTGGTGCCTGTTATATGCGTGCCATATTACTTTGGGGGCTTAAAAAAGGGAACGTAGTTTAGAGAACTACCCGGCGACCCAAGTTATGAGGTTGAAAGAACAATCAGGACTTTGGCAGTTGAACTAGGTGGCCATGCAGTTGAGTCAGCATTCGGGGCCCTTGACCCCCAAACCCTGAACCGTAAGCCTTGTACAATGATCCTTAAGCGGAATTCCGAAGACAGCAAGTGCTCTCATCTCTGGGTTTTTGCAATGGTATCCCTTTGTAGGCCACTTACTAACTTCAAACTCACGCGCTCAAACTTGAACCCTCGGAAGCCTTCAAATCTAACCCCGAACCCTTAAAGAACCTTCAAAGCCTTAAACCCCAAACCCTAAAGAACCCTTTGACCCCAAACACCAACAAGCCATAACCCCTAAACCCCTAAAGCCCTAAAACCCTAAACCCCTAAACACCCAAACCCGCAAACTCCTAAACCCCTCAACCCTACGGTCGACAGCTCGGACCCAGCAGACTCCACAACCCCTTAAGCTAGGAGTATATCCCAAATCGAGCGCGGTTCCTTGTTGTAATTTCAGGCATCCTCCTTAGCTATGATTTAAAGGTGTATCTCTTGATTATAATTTCAGGTATATCCCGTAATGACAATTTACGGTACATCCTTCAATTATAATGTAAGGTCGATTCCTTATTTGCAACTTAAGGTATATTCCTCGAGTAAGGGGGGTTGGAGTCTCTGGGTTTCCAGGAGAACTCCAGCAGAGCCTGCCTTAACCACAGGAGGGCTCCAGCCGCCTCCTCAGGGGTTCGGTGTTTAGGGTTTAGGGTTCAGGGTTTAGGGTTTTAGGATTAGGGGTTTAGAAGTTTAGGGGTTTAGAGTTCAGCGCTTTAGGACTTTAGGCGTTTAGAGTTTAGGGGGCTTTAGGGCTTTTTGGAGTTGAGGTTGATTGAGGGCTCCAGCCGCCTCAGAGCGCTTGGTGACTTGGTGCCATTTCCTTCTTGCTGTGAGTATTGTGATTGTTAATGTTGTTGTTATTATTGTTCTTATTGATCTGAGTTTCGTGCTTTGTCATCATCTCATTTCTTTTTTGGTTTGGTGTGGCGATGGTGGGGCATGTAGTTAGGGTTTCAGGGTTTTAGACTTTATCAAGCTTGCAGCCTTGTGTGGCTTGATGGGTTGAGGGCTGTGAGGGTGGAAGGCTGGAAGGGTTTTGGGGCTTCTCGGTTTCAGGGTCAACGGTTTAGAGTTCAGGGGTTTAGGGCTGTGATTCAAGCGTCCACGGGTAGTGGTAGTGGTAGTGGTAGTGGTAGTAGTAGTAGTAGTAGTAGTAGTAGTAGTAGTAGTAGTAGTAGTAGTAGTAGTAGTAGTAGTAGTAGTAGCAGTAGCAATAGCAGTAGCAGTTGCAGTTGCAGTAGCAGTTGTTGTAGCAGTTGTAGTAGCCGTAGCAGTAGCAATAGCAGTAGCAGTAGCAGTTAAACCATAGAAACCCCAAACCCCAAATAACACCCCTAAATGCTTTCCTCAGGCTACGGCAGAAATGAGGCCAGTGAGAGGACCCCTGGATCTTAGGCACCTGAAAGACCGGCAAAGACCGGGAGCACAGGAGAGCTTGAACAAAAAAAGAGACGGATCAGGGTTTCTGGCATCAGTTTTTCGGCCCCGCATGCAGGAAATCTTGGATCGCTTGCGTTGTGTATGGGGCCGTGCTGCGGCATGAATTGTCATGTATTGTAGTCGAGGCAGTCAGAGACGTTTACGGTATCTATTAGAAGGGCCTAAACAATTCTCAATCATTACTGTGTGGGGGTTCCTAATATAACTAAAGCACAATCTACCCCCAAAGCCCTATTCTAATACAAAGCCCCACCGACCGGCCTCTTTAGCAGTGACAGGGGAGCGTTCAGGGTACCTAAACCCGAAATCCGAAAGGGGTGTCTGCATGACCGACTGCCCTTGCAACCGTCATGTCTAAATGAAGACAAGCTTTAGAGTGTTTCCGCTACGATTCCTTTACTAGATCTCCCAGTGGGCCCTTTTTCCCTTTTTGTAGTCTTAGGTTCCCGTGTAAACACCACCTTAAACCAAAAACGGGAGCCCTTTTTATTCCCTAAACCCAAAACCCAAAACCCAAAACCCAAAACCCAAAACCCTAAACCCTAACCCTAAACCCTAAACCCTAAACCCTAAACCCTAAACCCTAAACCCTAAACCCTAAACCCTAAACCCTAAACCCTAAACCCTAAACCCTAAACCCTAAACCCTAAACCCTAAACCCTAAACCCTAAACCCTAAACCCTAAACCCTAAACCCTAAACCCTAAACCCTAAACCCTAAACCCAAAACCCTAAACCTAAAACCCTAAACCCTAAACCCTAAACCCTAAACCCTAAACCCTAAACCCTAAACCCTAAACCCTAAACCCTAAACCCTAAACCCTAAACCCTAAACCCTAAACCCTAAACCCTAAACCCTAAACCCTAAACCCTAAACCCTAAACCAACCAACCTAAACCCAAAACCCTGGTTACAGGGGATCCCAACAGTCCAAGCCACCTACATGTCAATGAGAAAGTAGTGATGGTGATGGCGGCTTTCCACCTTGCCCGTAAAGCCCTTAAGTCTCCCAGTCCCTTCTCAGCGCCCCAAGGCCCCCCCCCCCCCCCCCAAGTCAAAAAAGAATCCAAACCCTGAAAACCCTTAACCCTAAACCCCTCCCCCACTAACCCCTCCCCCACTCACTCCCCCCCAAAAATGAAGTGAAGAAGTGAAGAAAAATAACAAAGAGCAAAGAAGAAGCAAGACAAAGCAAGCAAAAAAGCACAAGCAAAAAAAGGCACAGAAGCATCCCTGGCCAGGCGCCGGAGGAGGAGCAACTACTTGCTGGACTGATGGGCCTGCGCGGCCTCAGGAAACCTATTTGCCTAAGACCCCCCCCCCCCCAAAAAAAAAAACTACAGATAAATGATAGCCCCCCTAAGTTGCCCAAAACTAGGAGGAACAATTTTTTGATTTTTTTTTGGGGGGGGGGGGGGGGGGGGGGTTCTTATGCAAGTGGTAGAAAAAAGGCACATCGTTTTTTTTTCGCACAGGTGAAGAAAGGCCTAGGCCTCGAAGAAGGGTTTTCTTCGGGTTTCTGAGGTTTTGGGTTTGGGGTTTAGGGTTTGGGGGTTAGGGTTTAGGGTTTAGGGTTTAGGGTTTAGGGTTTAGGGTTTAGGGTTTAGGGTTTAGGGTGTAGGGTTTAGGCCTTACTTACAGTAGACAACAACACCCTCATATTTTAGGGGGGCTGAGGCATTTAGGATCGGCATGAAGACTTCAGCTGTACAGTGTAAGTTTTCCCATCCCAGCTGCTTTCACCCTGCGCATAGCAGAGCTGGGTGGCTTCTTGAACTGCTCAGTGTTCAGCACGTTTTCGAGGTTTAGCGTTCAACTTTAAACCCTGGACCCTAACCCCTAAACCCTAAACCTTAAACCCTAAACACCAAAGGCCCTAAGCCCTAAGCCCTAAGCCCTAAACCCTAAGCCCTAAACCCTAAACCCTAAACCCTAAACCCTAAACCCTAAACCTTCAGTATGTCGAGTGCTGGCGCATGTTCTGAGCTGACCCAGCACAGCCGCAAGATCCCTCTGCAGGCTTCCAGCTGTTGGGGCCCCGAAGCTTATGCCCTTTACAGGGTTTGTAGGGTTTAGGGTTTAGGGTTTAGGGTTTAGGGTGGGTTTTATAGGGTTTGTAGGGTTATAGGCTTTGTAGGGTTTAATGGGAGGGTATATATATATATATATATATTTTTTTTTGTTAAGGGTTGAGAGGGCTTTGTAGGGTTCGTAGGCTTTGGGGTTTATGGGATATATCTCTTTTTTTTTTTTTTTTTGGGGGGGGGGGGTTAGAGTGCTTTGTAGGGTTTGCAGGGTTTATGGGTGTTTACAGGCTTTATAGGGTCTTGTAGGATTTATAAGCTTTACAGGGTTTGTGGGGTTTATAGGTTTTATAGGGGTTATGGGATTTATGGGGTTTATGGGGTTTATGGGGTACATTTTTTTGGTTTAGAGGGCTTTATAAGGCTTTTAGGCCCACCTACCTGTTGTTTAGTAGGGCGGAACTCAGATAGCGATTCCTCCTTAAGACGCGTGGATCATGTCAGGGGTCGGAAGCGGTGACAGCTTGAAGCGCTCTCCACCCCAAACGCCCTTTAACCCGGAACTTGACCGCCCTGCCCTATTGCTTAGGCTTTAGGCTGTTTAGGGTTCAGGGTTTAGGGTTCAGGGTTTAGGGTTTGGGATTTCAGCCTTCCGAGCCCCAACGCCAGTCGAGTCGAAGGATCCATGTCCCAGCCATGTCCATCTGCGAAACGCGCGCGGGAGGGTTTAGGGTTTAGGGTTTAGGGCTAGGGTTTAGGGTTTAGGGTTTAGGGTTTAGGGTTTAGGGTTTAGGGTTTAGGGTTTAGGGTTTAGGGTGTAGGGTTTAGGGTTTAGGGTTTAGGGTTTAGGGTTTAGGGTTTAGGGCTTCGGGCTCAGGGTTCTAGGGCTTGATGAAGGTTTGGCCCATGGCTTCCAGACTTTGATTCCTCATAGTTGGGTGGGGCTGGGTCCTGTATTCAGGCCCTGAGAAGCTCCTCCAAAAGAGAAAGCCTACTTTTGGTGCAAGCCCTATACGTCGGGAACAGGTTCGTTGAAGTTCGAAACGCAAAACCGCCCCTAAACCCTAAACCCTAAACCCCACACCCCAAACCCCAAAAATCCCTTCTCAGCCCTCAAAAGCGCCCCTCTCAAGCGGCCAGTCGAAACCCGAAGCTTGGGCTCACGAGCCGAGTTGTAGGGAGCGGGGCAGCTGATCCGTCTCATGTTCTGGTTCTTTCAGGTTTCTCACCACTTTCAGGGGCCAAGCTTTGGTAAGCTTTGGTAAAGCATCCCCATCTTGAGGAGGGTGCTTTGATTGCCTTGCTTGCTTTCCCTGGACGTCGTGTGACAGCTGCCCCCCTTGAGCTCCGAGACCCCG